TTTGGAATGGTCCCGAAGGTAATAATCATTTGACAAGAATCAAAGCTTCTTAATTTTGGCTGGGTACCAACTTTATTTGGATTTAATTTATCTGGTGCTGGTCAGAAAACACCCTTCAGCACTGTTTTATGTGATTTTGTATGACTGGATCTCACCTGGCTAGAACATCTCCACATTGAGCTAATTTTCATGGCACACCAGAGTCTGTCTGATTACTTACAGGAAGCACACAGGAACTGGAAAATGCTACTGGTTGAAAAAAGAAAGGGATTGAGCAATGTTTGAGCACAAAACAGCATTGCTCTGTCAGATGCCTGCAGAATCAAACCAAAATCTAGTCCTGTCATTTTTGGACTTGTACGTGTCCTATTTTTCTCATAAACCCATAAGCAGCCTGAGTTCTGCTTGAGCTTTGAAGAGGACAGAATCTCAAAAACTATTCCAAGCAGTTTAGAAAATGAGTACCTTTTATAGGGTGTTCTGCAGAGGAACTCTTAACTCTGATACTCCTGCAGTAGTTTAGACTCTTGGTCTGATGTTTGGTCTGATGTTTGGTCTGGTAGTGTGGAGGACAGGACACCTGGACAGGTCTCTGTGAGAGGATGGTGTTTTTGCCACTTGCTACTCTTTTTAATTATTATTTCTTCTCCTTATTTTAAATATTGTTCATTTTCAATAGCATTTTAGTATTTTTCCAGGAAGGCAGAAGCTATCACCAAGATAGGAATTTCTCAGTGTATTTATAACTATTATATAGTTTCTCTGAAAATACAGAGTACTTTGATCTAACTCAAGCTAGTCAAAGAGATAAGAGAAGCAGATTGATACTGAGCTACTCTGAAGCTTGGAGAAAATGAAACTGATATAAATCAAAGAGCAAACATTGTCCTCTGATTCTGGCTTCATCTGCAGGAGTCTCTTGCATGCATTAGCATCAAAATGCATGTTTGAGGTATGTGTTCCACACTTATTTGAAATTTTCTAATTAAACACTATTGGTAAAAATAGCAATAAGTACTGAGCAATAATATAACTATGTCTGACTATTGAACAGCATTTGATTGCTCGTTCCTCCTCACCTCATTCCCACCTCACCAGGGGAGTTCTTGGAGGAGCCTGGGTCACAAGACTGATTCATGAGACTGATTCAGATACTGAAATTATAAAACTGTGATTAAAAAATATAAAATAAATCATTGAAAAGAAAAAAATCCTTGGTTTAGACACTTCCAAATTAGCTCCAAACTTATTATACATTTTATTCAGGATACTGAAATGGAAGTGGTAACTCTATTTGATGATACTCTGGCATTCAATTTTTTGCCCTAGTGCACCAAGAGAACCAGGTGTAAACTGGACATTGGCAAAATTAGTCTGAAAATTCTTATGTAATAATAATGCTGTCCAGAGACAATATTCTAATAGGAATATAAAATAAAGGCATCTAAACAGCTTAAGCTAAGGTCTGCTAAACTAGGAAAAGGATTAGATATTGTCATGTGTGCTAGGAAGGGACTAGACTTTACAATGATCATGGCTCTTCAGCCTTATTTTATCCTTTGAAAGAATCATCCAACCATAAGAAAGAAAAAGTAATGGTTGGAATAAACCAGCCATAAGAAAGTAAAATTCTATGGGTAAGACACTGTAAAAAAACCACTAGAAGAAACATCATCATATTTCATACGTTTTCATGAATATTCAGTACAGTAAGAAATTCAGTAAGGAATTACTCAGTGGTGCTCTGGGAATAGCAGAAATAGTTCTGTAAGTATTCCAGGAGAAGAACAATTTGGCATGCATTATGTAAAAGAAATTTCAAGTAATCTTTTAGTCTGAAAGTACTGGCAGATTTCCAAGGCTCAAATATTTGGGTAATACCATGTGCCTAGGGACTGATCAAGGGTATACTTTTAATGATAAAATCTGACCATTGTGAAGACTAATTATTATAGACAAAAAAAAAAAAATAAATGCAAATACTGCCAGGCTGTGAATAAAGAAGGTACAGATTTATCTGCTTATGCAAAGGACAAATTTTCTTACATTTCTGGACATTAAGTTAGGAAAAATGTTGGTGTATACTTGCAAGGAGATAAAATAAGGACTGTGTAATCATAATGTTTTTTGACATATATGCCTACACTGCACTTTGAGAGCTGTTAATGACAGAATTGACATCATGATAAAAGCATAGTGTTCTCCTTGGAGAGTCTAGCTTTCTAGTTTGTAAGAAAGAATACAATGGTGTTAAAACACATCTTAATGAGAAAAGAAAACATTTCTGTCACTATGACATAAATTCAGCATCATCATTTTTAACCCCCAAAATCAGTCAATGGTTGCTTTTTAAAGAAATAGTGGAACAAATAAAATTATAAGGAGTTTTCCAGCTAGAATGATCCTGGTACCCAAAGTACTCTAAATTGTCCCATTTTTCTTCAAAAAAGAAAGAAAACAAACAAACAAAAAGACATAAATTAGACTCACTCTAGAATGTGGAGAATTTAATACTGCCCATCCTAAGTTCTCAGCACTTATAAAAATAACACTAAATACTTATTAAATCTTGAAACTTATCTGTACTGGAAAGAATCACGGTCCAGGCAAAACAGTCTCAATAAATGATCCTGATCAATTGCTGACAGCCTCCTCTGCACACTGAGAAAGATTTAGCCAGCTGAGGATCCTTCCATACATGCAAAAAGAGATGGAACTGGACCCTTGAAAAGAAACAAGCCTGGCACATGTGGTAGTCACCAAAGACCACAGGACAAACAACACAATTAAATCAGACATGAAGTTGAATTATACATGAGATTAAAGTAATCTTGGTGTTCTAATAAGAACTGCTGTGCAGTGTCAGGCCAAAGGGCCAAGAAGCTGTGAGAGCTGACAATAGGGCATGACAGGGAAACTGCCAATAATGTAGATATTTGCTACTCAAGAGGGCAGATGGCAGAAATCACCTGTGTTCTGATATAGTGGCAACCTAAGAGACCAGCTCCTCCTCCTAGCTAAATTCTGTATCATAGGCAAGGTGGATTAACACATTAATTTTGACCAAAAAAGCAATATATATATATATTATTAAGATCTTTTGGATCTATCAAGATATATCACAAACCACTTCTCAGTGCTGGGAAAGAGTGCAAGAACCACTCTGTGTTTTGTGTCTGTTTTCTGTACTCAGAAAAAAAAGATTGAGATTATACTAGAATGAAATATATTGATTTATTAATTCAAAATGTCAGAATGTCTTCTCATTTTGAAAGCAGCCTTCCTTTTCAGTTAAGTTGTCCCCTTATGGTTTTGCTTTTCAAATAGCAAGGAAAATTATATTTTAGGTGAAACCCTTTGGTCTTGGTTCCTCATCAAATTACATGACATTTAGACATGCTTGGTAGAAAAACATCTGTTATTTGTATAATTCTGTTGAGATAGTGAGGTCCAAAACTAGGAGTATATTATTTGTATAATTAATAGTTACTATGTTTCCCATGAGGGTCTATGATCTAGAAATTTTAATGATAAATTAACATGCAAATTAAGATAGGACTTAACTACTGGGCTATTACAGAAGTTCTCTAACTATTAAAGAAAACTGAGACATTAAAAAAAAATCAAAGTAGAGAAAAAAAAAAAGTCAGTCCCCAAAGTAAACTGTGCTTCCCTGATATAATGTCTTACTTGCGGGGCATTTACAATCAAAGAATAACAATGCCAAAGAAAATGACTACATATGTGAATATCTGATACTGAAAAGAAAACTGATTGATAAGAACAATATTGAGACTTAAAAATCACCTAATCACAATCAGTAACTTTTAGTCTGTTATCTGCCTACACTGCCAAATGCATATGAAAAAAAGTCAAAATTGCACTAGTTCATTCACAGGAACCTGAGAATCAGAACACAATGGCAAAAGTCTCAAGGCTCATTTATTTAAATATTAAATAGAAAAAAATTTAAAGTATCGAAAGTCCAGACAAAGCCATATTATGCTCCACAAGAACTGAACTTTTGAACATTTGAACTTTTTGTGACAGAGTGGTTTGCTTTGAGATGTGTGAAAAGTTTTTCCTCTGCCAGCAACTATTCTCCTCTGAAATAATTTCTAATGCTCCACTGGTAGAGAAGGTCAAATATTCACACTGGGGAACCAGAGAACTGTAGCTGGTTCCTTCAACCTTTTCTCCAATGGTTTTGGTCACACCAGAATCTTCTGTAACTACTTTTCACCATCCTGTAACATGTAACAACACCTACCTGCCTTTTGAAGGTATTTCCCAAGTGGAAAATATTGAGATATGACACTGATGAGTGTCATCAACAGAAATACAGCTCAAAATTATTTTCATTGTACTAATAAATATATTAATTTCAAATCCAATCAATTTATTCACAATATAAAACTTATGGCTGCCTGAATGAAGTTCTTTTAATTTCTCTGTGCTGAGAATTACAAACATGACACATAGACTGTGTCAATAACACCTTTTTGTTCTATACAGGGAGCTTTTTAAGCACGCTGCCTCAAAGGCTGAAGGACTTGGAGTTCCATGTGGGCAACAGAGCTCCCAAAATGCCAGGAGATGCTGTCAACAATACCTGGAGAACCAACATCTGCACACACTTTGGTCAACATCTGCACACACTTTGGTCATGCTGAACAACACGAGCAGCCACAGATATCTTGGAACTCCTACTCCTCTAAGCGTCAGATCTGTCCTCTCCATCACAAAAAAAAAGACAAAAATTAAACCAGGACTAAATTGTAAAATGTGTGGGATTGGTGACAGCCAGAAACAGCTTGTTAAAGACCAAAAATTAGTGTATTGTCTGTGGCACTTTCTGGAAGAAGTATTTACAGCTGTCAATCACTTCTGATTGTCTTAACAACCTGAATGTATTAGAGCTTGGAAACTAAAACATTTAAGCAAATCAGAAATGGAAGTGCTATTCAGAGCAGTAAAACACCGTGACTAATGTGTCCTTTGCAAAGAACATCACCTTCAGAAAAGGCAAAAAAATGATCAGAGATACACAAATTGATTTAATGATCATTATTTTATTCAGAAGAACATGAGAGTTCTTTGAAGCTGAAAATGATTCTAATCAAGCTATTATTACCTGTTTTCATCCTAAATCAATTTCCTCCTTAGATTTTAGCTGAAATTGGTGAGGTAATAAACGTCAGACCTGTAAATTCAACAGGAGAGAAAGTTCATAAGCATTTTTTCCTTAAAAAGATTTATTACAAATGTTTTTTTCCCTGAAAGCCAGATGATGGATGTGCCAAAGCTTGTAGCTGTGTCTGACAGGGGTGGACAATGTAAAACATAAGAAACTGTGCCCTTTTAGATGAAAGGCAAAGAGCCAAGCTTAACCTCTTGGAAAATAATTACAGCTCATGTACAAAGACAGCTGCAATTTACTTTGTTATCATATTAAAAGATTGGTAAAACTACTGAATGGTGTCCACTTTTACCAGGAAAAGAAAGCACAGCAGATTGACAGATCCTGGATTCTAACAAAAGCCTCTAGAGCAATGTGACAATCCAGACAGGCAACTTTCATACTCAGTGTACAATAATTTCTCTTGAGGTAAATCAGAATAATTTGGAGGTTTTGCTTATTGTAAAAAAAATACAAAACAACACAACAACAAAAAAAACCACCCCAAAACCCAACCAAACCACCAGAAAACACCACACACTATAACCAAACAAACAAGCAAAAAAAAAAAACCCAAACAAAACCCACTTACAATTATAAACATAATACAGGATAAACACTTTTTATCTAATTGAAATTTAACATGTAACAGGCACCAGTATGCAGAACAGAACCCATGGCAGGTCACCACTAGCACTTTTATAATCTGCAGGCACAGTTTGAAATGACCTTGTTTATAACCATAGCTGCCTTTCTAGCAGAAGACTTTAGAGTTCTGCTGGTTTCCTTGGCAACTATTAGTAATGCAAGAAAGATACAACATAGAAAAAATTACATTTTACCCAATCCTGTTTCCAGGAACTGTTAATTCCCCTCTTGTATCAAAGGGAATTTTACAAAATAGTTTTTCCTCCAATGTCAAGAGTGACAAGAGATAACACAAAACTTTACCATAGTAAAGGCCATTTAATGTCTCTTTAACCATCACATCTGATACTGCCTAGTACAAAACAAATGTTAACCTTTTCAAGAAGTTTTCTGCTTTTCATCTGTGGAGGGAAGCACTGTTGTGTTTCTGGGGAGATTAAGGCAGGGAGTTTAAGTAAAATGCAGCTACTTCTCTGTGTTCAGCTCTTCACCTTTTTGTCTCCATCCTCATGTCCCACTCTGGAGCACATGGCACTCCAGCAGAGGGGAGCAAAAAGCACACTTCACAAGAGGCAATTCAGCAGGACTGAGGTGGTGACTTCTCTGTTTATTCTTTCTCATTACTATTCTTACAGCAGCTGAATTTAATTCCTGCAGAAGTGTCACACTGATATCTTCTTTTTCCCCAGTGCTGGTTCTCACAGCCTGCCTTGGCTGCTTGTACAGATTCACCTTCTCAACAAGGATGCCACACTCAAAAGGGAGATGACTGCTGAGTTATGAAATCTGTGTGGGCTTATCCTCTGTTTGGCAAGTCAGCATTTATATGGACAAGTAATATTTGGCCACATTGTAAAGCTTTCACCAGACCTCAGAAAGGAGCAGAATACCTTGAAATTTACAGGTGAAAGGAAACATTATGTGACAACCACAGTAGGGCAAATCCACCTCCCCCCCTCCACCATCCCAATAAATAAATAAATAAATGAAATCAAGGATTGGCAAAGAGTAGGAGAAAAGAGTTAAAGATAACAAAGAAAGTGAATATTAAGTGAGTCTCTGGCATAAAATGAATTTTCAGCCCTTTAGTGACAGATCTGAAGAGGGAAAAATAGTATTTATATTGCTGAAAGACTGTTTACAGCAAGATGAAGGGGACAGAACATGGAACCACAGCACACTTTTAAATAAAGAACAAAGCAATAACACACAAAGTTCATTAGGTTTTTATAGAAATTATTTACATTCTCTATATAATTTTTAATCTATAAACTAGAGACTTACATTTCAATAGTTCCTCTATATCTTCAGAAATATTTCCATATTGTTACAGAATATGTGGACAAATCTCAAATAATTTTTCAGAGAACAAAAACCAAATGAAGACTCTAGCCTATTCAAAACCGTGGTCTTCATCCACAAACTTTTCTGTTTGTGCAAGCTCATCCCATTAACAAAATTTTAACTCCAGACTGAGTCAAGCCACGTGCAGTCCACAGTATGATCAGATTGGATTTGATATTTAGCTCTCACTCAGAAGTGCTGCCCTCCTAATAGATGCAATTTTCAGGTCAAAAGTGATGACAAGTGCAGTTTTATGTCCTTTAACTGTAACAATTTTGGGTTTCTGACTACACCCATTCAGATTTCCAACTGACAAGTTCCATTTAGAAGTAATTGTGATTTTTAAAAAGGGACTAAGCCACAAAAACTTGCTCAGCATTTTTGCATTATCCACATAATTTCCCTATGGCAATACTATCCATGAGTGGAAGAATTCACATTTTGATGGGCTGAGATAAATAACTAAAGCTCTCTGATAAATTTTCATTCTATGGCAGCACCTCCATGGTCTGATCTCCACATGTGCCTCTCTTTTTTGGTGGTTGTGGCTTATGCACTGAATTGACAGAGTAGAACCAAGGTCTGACACATCAATTCCTCAACCACCCTCCTCTGTTCCTGAAACTGCACACAGAGAAGGGCAGTTCAGTCTGTCTCCCTCCTTTTCCTTGGGAAAACACACATATTTCTTTTTGCCATAGATACATCACGTTTATTAAAACTAAACCAAACAATTTTAATTAGCCTCACTAGGTCATTAGAGATTTATTTAGGCTGGAAAAAAAGCTTGAGATCATTGCACAGGCTGGAAAAGACAGTATAGATATAAACACAAACAGCCCTACTTAAAAGGGCAGAGTTCCTCAGCTCCTGGGGCATATAGAGACTTCCAACTAACTCCTGAGCCAAAAACGGTCTAATTGCATTTTTCTCCCTTTGAGATACAGGTTTTGTTTTTTTTTTTTTTGAATAAAGAACATTTCTACATTGCTATTTATTCTCACGAAAAATGGTTCCAAGTAAAAGCTAAAAATTTTTTACAGTAGTTAAATAGTCCAGGAAAGGCATCATCAAGCTGTTGAATCTTTCAAAAGATCACTAAGGGAGAGAAAAAATACTACTGGGTTATGGGTAGAAGACACTTTTTTTTTTTAAATAATAGCAATATTAGCCTTACAAATTACCAAGTCTGTGGGATAAAGAATCCATACCGGAAATTCAGTCAGCAACATTTCCGTTCAATTATTATAATAATTTTTTTGCAAGAAATAACACCTTCCTTGAACTTTACCTTTACTTTTACTAAAAAAAAAAGGCACTTCAGGACTGCTACTTTAGTAGTTATTCTCAATAATAATAATAATAACAGAGGTGATGATATTGCAAACCAGCAATTTTTGAAGGACAAAAAAATGTTAAATCCTGGGTAAAAACTATTTACAACAAGGACTTTACCCCTGGAAACAATGATGTCAGGCATTTAGCTCAGTTTCAGTAATTCTATTTTTCCTAGTAACAGGAAGTGCTTCAATGAATTTAACTTTGTTAAGTGGAGACAAGCCTTGTTTTGAAAGTTATTCAATGCATCTGGAAGATGACTAATAAAAAAAAAAGGGGGGAGGGGGAAGAGGCATTTACTAATGCCCTGGAAATTGCTCAGCCTCTTGAACTAAAAATACTGAGTATATTGAGACATTGGAAGATTTAAAAGAAATTGCTCACAGAACAGCAAGAAAACTGGAACTGCCATATTATGTTAAAGAGTATCCCCAAGGCAGGACAGCAGGAGTACAGCAGAAAGCAAAGAGAGAGACACCAGGCACTAACAGAAGAAGGTATATAATGACTAATGCTCATCAAAAACATTTCATTCTCAGTATATTCCTAACCCTAAAGCATCTTTTCCTGGGGATCTCTAGAGTTGGAATGATTTAGTCTCTGCTTGATGAATTAATTTAAATATGGGCAATTTCCTCTTAATTCATGTATCTGGCATTTTGCTGACATTCCAGATATGTTTGTTTTGGTTTTTTTTTAATAGTTCTGTAAAGCTCAGCAGAATCACAAATCAAGACATGGAGAGGGAATTCTGGCTATTCATTTTGGTGCCTTGCAGTCCGAATTCCTAAATGGTCCCTGGAGGAATGATCCAGAGCATCTAGGCTGTGGACCTAGAGTTCTTGCCACTCAGGATGTAAAATGTGTGAGCTACAAGGCTGCTTTCACTCTGTGTCAATGCTCAGACAGGAATTATGTGCTTTCCTTGGCTGGGGAGCATGAGTAAGTGTGAGAGTGTGTGTGTGTGTTTGTGTAAAAACACCACTGACCTCAGCACGTGTGAGTGTTTATCAAATAAGAGCTTGCTAAGTTAGCAGTGAAGAATCTCTTAAGGCAGCTGCAAACAAAAACCAGCGGGGTTTGATCTGTTTGGAGGCACTGGGATAGCACATAGCTGTTTCTGTAAATATTTGAATAGCCTGAATTCAGTGGCTCTCCCACTGTTGTATCTCCAGTTGTGACCTAATTGGGTAGAAGGCTTGTGTCTGCCCAGGAACAGCAGAGAGAAACATCAGGTCTGGCAGTGCAGTGTGGTGCCCTTGTCACACACCAGAAACTGCAGAAAAGCAGGTTAGGCAAAATGCCCAAAGTCAAGGACAGTGGGACATAAATAGGAACTGAACTGAGGCTAAACACTCACCCATTAGCTTGTTAAAAAATAACTTCCTCATGTTCTCTGTCATTAGCTTTACTTGCTTAATGATATTGTTTTTCAACACTAGTATCTCTCACTCCTTTAACCAAAAAAACAAGGCTTCATTTAAAATAGAAGATTCTGTTTTGCTCTGAGAGATGCAGGTGCACTGGTAGAGGCAGGAAGAATAAAGGTCACAGGAGACATAATAAGAAATCATGTGTCAACTCTGTAGGGTAGTGTTGCTATCCCAATTTCACTAGGGAGGGAAGGAAGCAGTAGGAACAGCACTTAACACGTAAATTACAGTCTTCAGTATGGCTACAGTGAGAAAGAACAG